ATGGAAATAGGGCAACTTAGCGGTTGAAAGAAGTTCGGTGGTAACATTATCCAAGTCTTGGTGGAAGCTACTTATTTCCTAGCGTTTCCGTTGAGCAGCTTTCAGTCCGTCTGCTGGTGGCCCTTATCACTCCTCACTGACAAACATCTTTAAGCTTTTACTTTTGGAAGAATCTTTAGAGTTTAGCGGTTGAATCAATTTGGTCTATATAGCTCAAGGATAGAAAGTGCCTGGCTCACCAAGCCTTTGCTCATCGATTCCTGGACCACAGTGGTGAAGCTCAATCGCAAGCAGTAGGGAGGGGGACAGATACTAACTCTAAGCCCTTGTCAGGAGCAGTATCACAACATGTCTCTTGCCACCAAAGTCTCCCACCATGTTCGCTAAAAACGTCTGAATCACTTGCTGGAGGGTAGTTCCCAGTGTTGCTACGACTCGTGTTGTTAAGGGCTGTTGTGTCCTATCAGCTGTTATAACGTCCTGCCACCCACCGATAAGGTTCCCATCCTGCCCCCCTATCGTGGAAACGACACCTTACCGTCGCTGTGGCGCAATTTATAATGTTGATGAGCTTCCTTTGTAAGGCCTCTTATGGTATCTTATCAGCTGTTATCACTGCCTGCCACCCACCAATAATGTTCCCATCCTGCCCCCTGTCTTACTACTTGGATCCAAGGTCCCGTCGTTGCTCTGGCCGGTGCTATGAATTTGGTGACCCTCCCCTTCTAGACCCCCTGTGCTATCTTATCAGCTCTTATCAGTTCCTGCCACCCACCGAAAATGTTCCCATCCTGCCCCCTATCTCTCTACTTGGATCCAACGCCCGGCCGTTACTCTGGCCGGTGTTATGAGTTTGGTAACCCACTCTTTTTAAGGCTCCTCATGGTATCTTATCAGCGGTTATCACTTCCTGCCACCCACCAATAATGTTCCCATCCTGCCCCCTATGTTGCTACTTGGATCCAACGTCCGGTCGTTACTCTGGCCGACGCTATGAATTTGGTGACCCTCCCCTTCTAAGACCCCCTGTGGTATCTTATCAGCTCTTATCAGTTCCTGCCACCTACCAATAGTGTTCCTGCCCGACCCCCTACATCACTTATCAGTTTGAGCGCTCTGCCGCTCCTTTGAAGGAAGTTATGAATTTCCGGTCAAACACACACACATACACACACCACCAACAGACAAACTTAGCGGATTATAATAGTAGGATTGTTACCGGTAACTAACAGCAGTTCCCTTTGAACACAGTGCAAGGTGTACAATTTTTTGCGTAACGACTAAAGTCAGCCTACAAAGTTACCATATTGTTCACACTATTCATTTTTTCAAGAGTTCTATGACATTGTGCCGCCGGAATGTGATTCTGTTCCTTTCGGTGACTGGAAAGAAGACTATGAACCTCGGCACAAAAAAGTTGCCACGAATATGGAAAATGTCGGCGTAAAGGCGCGCCTTTCCCGAGTATCCTGAAAGTTTGTAGACGCACACTGCCATCGTAGTCACAACAGTAAGACTGCAGTCAGCGGTCGAATTTTCTGTTCCTCACGAGGTTGTTAGGTGGAACCATTTATTAGTAAAAAAGGCCTAACGTTTCGACTGGTTCGTCGTCTTCAGAGGCCTGAACATGTTTCAAGATCTAGATTTACGACCCTACCCCACCAAACGCCTCGTCAGCTCTAGCGGTTCCGACTTTTAGGACCAAATTTACCATTCAAACCAGCGAGCTGTACCATTTTTGCACCGTGGGCGGAGCTTCTCAACGCGGGCGAGGCAACTCCGAACAGTCCAGTCTAAAGGAACGATCCAAAAACGTAAATAATTAGAAAAAGCATAAAAATTTCGCAAAAAACAACAGTGGGCGTGATTCAAGGGGCGGAGCCTATGACGTGTCGGTGCATAAGTGCGCGTTTATGAGTAGGTACGTCCTGTGAAGAGTGTATGTGAAATTAACAACGTTGAAAAAAGTTAAGAAAACTTAAAATTTGCAATGAATACTCTGAATAGTGAGTGGAGTCTGAAAAGTGAGTGGAGTGAGGATGTCTCGGTGTACAGTCCCTTCAGTCAAAGCGGATGTGCGAAACAGCAAAAGTCAAAAAAGTCGTAGAAACAAAAGTTACAAAGTTAAGTTTGAAAACTTATAACCGCGCCGAAGAGCAGGCGTGCCTAGCGTTCTTGTCCAACTGTTGTCAGGTACGCTTCTTTGACTAACGCTTTCCAACGGTCCCTGTAAATAGAATCGGCTGCGGACAGGCCAGCAGCAGTCATGTCCATATTCAGGTTGTCTTTCCACCGCATTCTAGGTAGCCCGTTTAGACATTTCCCTCCGAAAATGATCCTGTTAGGATTTCATTACAGCATCAGGAGATATTCGCTGAACGTGACCATACCAGCGGAGACGAGATGCGGCAAGGGAGTTGGCAATCGGCTGGACCTTCATCTTGTCTCGGACTGTTTCGTTGCGGATTCGGTCGAGTCGTGTGTGTCCCAGGCTCCATCGTAAGCATTCTCATCTCCACAACACCATATGCTCTTGTCTCCTCGGCCGTCATCTGCTCCGTTTCCATAGATGGCGACTGGTTTCACGACTGAAACGTAGATCCTCATTTCAGACGCATCGGCATTCTCTTTTCACAGAGAACGCCAGTGAGAGATTTCCATTTGCTTCCATGCAGCGTTGATTCTTGCAGTGGTGTCGGCCTTGGCATCTCCATCCGCTGCAAGCGTAGATCCGAGATATGGGACCTTCGTTTCTCTGAATAGGGGGTTGACTAAGACGATGAAGTAGTTGCGGTGGTCGTGCACATGTACTCTCTCTTTGGTGTTAAGCCTGAGTCCGTGGTTGGCCAGCTCTCTCTTACAGCGGTGACGCGCCGTTCTAATTTCCCTTTAAATCGGTCCATCAGCAGTACATCGTCAGCATATCCCAGCGTCAGAGGCAGCTCTTTCCAGGTGCTCGTAGTGAGAGAATGAGCAACAGTGGCGAAGTTCACCAGAGATCGGCTTTTTCGCCACTGTTGTTCATTCTAATGGACTACGCGGCGAGGAAGCATCAGGAAAGAGCCGCCTCTGACGCTGGGATATGCTGACGATGTACTGCTGATGGACCGATTTAAAGGAAATTAGAACGGCGCGTCAACCGCTGGAAGAGAGAGCTGCCAACCACGGACTCAGGCTTAACACCAAAGTGAGAGAGTACATGTGCACGACCACCGCAACTACTTCATCATTCTTAGTCAACCTCCCTCTCCAGAGCAACGAAGGTCCCATATCTGATGAACCGGGAGCTGTGGAGTGTCTCCAAGCAAGCTGCTCCCAGACTTGTCCTTGTCTGCGCTGGGCAAGCTTCCTTGCGGCGCGTAGATACACATAAAATGAGTTGCTCTTCTGCCGAAGATTAAATCATGATGCGGTGGGATACTCGTTGCACATTTTGAACTGCGTGCTCCAGCTTATGTGACCCTGTAATGACGGCACCGCTGACATTGGATCGCTCTCCGTTATAGTACAGAATGCTCCGGTCCTTCTCGCCTCGGCGCCCGCCCTTTTTGTTTCCTGGAGCGCGCATATGTTAGTACTCCAGCTCGTCCGTCAGTTCGGCAGAGCGGCCGGTCAGGGTACCAATGTTAAGTGTGGCGATCCTGATGGTCTTGCGTTTGTCCTTTGCGGAGGACTTCCTAGCTTGTGTGTCCATTACGGTGGACATCCTAGTTTGGCCCATTACGGTAAGCGTTATACTGCCACATACGGGTGACGCATGCAGACGCAGGGTATTCGGCATTGTTCCACTATTACTACTCCAAAAACTCGGGATATTTTTTGACGAAACCCTGCTAATAGATATTATTCGCAGTCCTAGTCCTTAATAGGGCATTGATGTTCAGCGCTGGCGTCAAATGGCATCTGCAGGCACGAATGTGGCGCTGTCACTTTTTCACTAAAGCCGATGAGAACTTGCATGCGATGTTATCTGACATCTTGATTACGAATATCACGCTCGTTTTGACGCTGGAGCCATTGGACTGCAAAAGGCGCCAATTCATCAACTTTCTCATCAAAGTCGATGAAAGCTGCAGAATATGGTTGATTGCTACCCTGATCACGAAAATCACATTCTTTTCTATACTTCAGCGCGGTTAATTGCTAGCGGAATTTGCGAGGACAGGGCACACCATTGGTTTGGGATTTTGGTCCGTGCAACCCCTGAGAGTAGGCTTGGTACGACACCGTGGCCCCTTCCTTCGAGTCAGGGGGGGGGGCTATATACGACATATGAGGCAGGAAAAAACCATTGAAAATCAACAATCCACTCTGAGGAGGCAAGAAGGCGAATAGTACCCCTCTCTTCTCCCAACAACGAGCAAATAGCAAATACGACCCCCTCCCTTCTAGCGTCACTGAAACAGGAGATCAACTATCAAAAAATTTTTCGTCGAAGCAAATACGCTCCCCTTCTCCAGCGACCAAATATGACCTCCCCTGTTGGTTACGGAATCCTAACGATGATGTCCCCTGTCGCAGAAGAGTGATTCCCTATCCGGCAGGCTCAGCCTTAGCAGAGCGCAGACGATCAGAGTGCTCTACATTCCTCCAGCGTCAAGAATAAGTGTCATATTCGTGATCAGGATGTCAAATAACTAACTGATAATTCGTATAGAAGTTTTCATTGATTTTGGTGAGAAAGGTGATGGCGCCAAAGTGGCGCCTACATGCTGGAGCAAATGGCATAGCGTCGAAAACGAGTGTGATGTCCGTGATCAGCATGTCAAATGACTCCCCCCCCTATATAGACAGATTTATATCGAGTTGAGTGAGATAGTTTGTGGCGCAAAATTGGCAGCGCCAAAAATGAAATATCATATCCGTGACCAACACTGAACAACCTCTGTGGGCGAAGTTTCAGCGAAAGAAATTTTTCAAGTTTTTGGAGTAGTAATAGTGGAATGGTTCCGAATATTCAAGGGTCGGGGCACAACATGCAGGCATGACTTGATCTTCCGTTAGCTGTTGGTGTGCAGACAATAGGGACTGTTATCTGAGCTTTCGCGAAAAGTCGAATGTCCAGTGTAGTGCATAAAATCAAACCTTCGTTCTTCAACAAAATAAAGCGTACCTTTACTTGACCACAATGGTCCATCGCCTAGGTGGTTGAACATGAACAACATGAACATTGATGTGACGAGAACAGCTGGCCACAGCCGACACACTCGATGGAAATAGAACATGAACTGGCGGTAGACGATGTGTGAGATGGTATCTTCCTTTTCTTCTCCTCTGCAACTGGGTTGGAATAAAAAATATTAGACTTTACAGAAAGTCATAATGAGCAGCGATTACAACCAACCTGAACAAGATTCTCTTCCGATAATTGAACGCAACTACAGCACCAGAAACAAAAAGGAAGGAGTCGACTGCTAGACTAGAATTGCAAAGAGCTGGTGCCAACCACAGTGAATCAGCAAGCGTGGGAAGAAGAGTTGTAAAGTTGTCCATGTAAGGTAACATGAACAGACATGCATGACCGAAGATCACCTTGAATTTTACATTATTGTGAAGGTCTTTAAGTCCCATAGCAACCCACAAAGACAACACAAATGGCTCCCAAAGTTCTCAAATCTTTTGATCCCTGAATTTGCATTTGTTTCCAAGTGAAAGTAAGTGTTAGAATGCTCTGGAATTTTCATTTCCAAGCTATCATGGAAACTATCATGTAAATGCGCAGTGATACAGCGAGTTCTAAGGTTTTGAGTAATCTCATCCGACTCTTGGAGACGAGCAGAGAAGGGGTAGACAAGCGAGAGGGCTAGAGCCGTGGATTTCTACACCGTTTTCTTCACTATATAATCAGCACTACTCTTTCGAACCCTCCTTCTCTTCTTCTCCCCAACGTGTCCCTCACGCGTCCCTTTCTTAATACACGTCTCGCCACTTGTATTCCGAGTCCATACATTGCTTCAGCCCATGCTGTGTGCTTGTGCATTAGATGAGATCTCGCTTTGATGACGTCTCTCATCTTTCTTTGGGCTCCTCGTGGTCGCTTGCCCTCTACCTCGCAAGTTCCAATGCCTTCCTTATTGGGTGGTCTTCAGGCCTCCTCAGTACATGACCGTACCATCGCAGTCGCTGCTCTCGTGCCTTCAGCTGGATAGGAGCCGTCTGTGTGACTGCTCTGACATCCTCGTTTCTGACTCTGTCGAGTCGTGTCCAGACCGCAGGCCCATCTCAGCATCCTCATTTTCAGCTGAGTGGAGCTGGCTTTTCATGGTTCTTGCAGTATAGCCAGACTCACTGCCGTAGCGCATTGTACGGCTAACCGCCTGGCCCGAGTACACTGCCCTTTGAGCGTCTCGATCACGCGCGTCGCACAGTGATGCCAGGTGGCCTCCATCCATTTCATCTCTTGCTGCGTTGATTCAGTGCCGTTCACAGTCATGGTAAGAGCCTGCATCAGCTGGCTAGGTCCGCTCCCCAGGTACTGGAAATCCTCAACCCTTTCGATGCTCTCGCCATGGCAGTCTACAATGGGATCGTTACACTTTTTCGGAGCTTAGAAATTTGGTCTTCTTTACGTTCAGCCGGAGTTAATTCTCAGCGAGCACATTCGGCCACCGCTGCACCTTGTCCTGGAGTTCTTCCTTGTCCTATCAGGGCGATGTCGTCAAGGCGTAGATGGGTGGTTTTCAGTGGTCCCTCCACGAGTTCTTTTGCCATGAGATCTAGAGTGAAGAGGAAGAGGAAGGGGCTGAGGACTGACCCTTGGTGTACCCCAACGGTAATGCTTACCAGTTTTTGTTTTCCTTTGTCAAGCCGTGAGGGGTGCGTACAGCTGCTTTAGCCCCATCGTACATGTTTTACTATGGAGATAAGGTTTTCCGGAACATTACGTTCTCTGAGCGCTCTCCAGAGTACAGGCCTAGGCAGGCGGTCGAATACCTTCTCAAGGTCCAGGAAGGTTATTACAGGGCCGCGCTTCTCTTCTGTACTTCCAAAAAAAAAAAAAAAATCAGCTTGTCTGCATAACCGATGCATCGTAGAGACTCTCGGGCATGAAGCCGAACTGTTCCTGCGAGATAGGGACAAGTTCCCTCAGCCTAGTGTTGACCAGGCGCTCGTACAGCTTCATGGTATGGGGAGTCAACTTGATCCCGCGGTAGTTGGAGCACTCCGTCGCGTCCCCTTTCTTGAAGATGGGAACGATTATGCTGCTCCTCCCACGCATGTCGCAATCCTCCTTCAGCTGTTAGCTGCTTAGGAATGCGTGAGCCAACTCCATACACCCATCTCTCCCAGGCCTTCCATGCCTCTACGGTACTCCCGCCTAGAACTCGCACTGCTCCCAACTGTTCATTCTCCTAGCTCTTTTGTTAAGACTTCATCTTCGTCCAGGAGTGATGGACCTGCCGTCGCCTTTTCTGTGGGCTCATCCTTGCGAGGCAAATGTCTTACGTTCATGGAAGCCTTCGAGAGTATTTCCTTCCCACCTGCTTTCCTGACTTCGGCTGGTTTCCTGAGGATGGCCCCGTTGCTGCTCTTTCACAGTCTTTACGACCCTGATGTCCTGAGCCGCGTAATGCCAAGCTTTAGGCAGGCGGAAGATGAACTGGTCCCTTTCTCGGCTCTCCAGCTTGTCGTACAGGGCGTCCATTTCCGTATCTTGCCTAGCAAAGGTGCCTTCGGCGAGTCGCTTGCAGCTCTTGTAGGCAGCGTAGTCTTCTGGGCTCCGTGTCTTTTGCCAGCATTTGTATGCCTCCTTCTTCTGCTTGACGATCCTCTGGACTTCCTGCGTTCGCAAGAACAGGCATGCCGTTGTCTCTCTCTGATACCACTACGTCTCTGCTCCGGTCCCTTTCCCTTGCACACTGTAGGATGACCTCTGCTGCGTAGGTCCAGGTGTCCTGGAACTGGCCCATGTGGGTCTGGGAGCCCAGCCTCCAGTATTCTTCGGCCGAGGCTATCCTTTTCTACCTTGCCCATTTTCCACCACCGAATTCTCCGGTCTGCCTCTCACGATTCTCGTCTCTTGGGAGATTATGGTGAGCGTCTGGCCAGGTAAAGGCTCTGCTGCATGAGGGCCCAGCTCATTCCCCTCAGCGTACTTGATATCTTGACGGTTTTGAAGAGAACGATCTTCTGACCAAGAAACTGGTCGCATTCAGTTTTCTTCCATCCCACTGACCGTAGGTTACCTTTGGGTTCCTCCTTCGCCAGAAGAGTGCTTGCAGATTGTCAATCGTTGGCGCTTGCTAGGTTAAGGATTCGTCCTCCCTCAGCGTTCTTTGTCCCTATTCCTTGACCTCCGTGCACCCTTTCTAGACCCCTTCTGTCCCTCCCAACATGGCCATTCAGATCTCCAGCTATGGTGAGATAGTCTCTTTCCGGAAACCGATCTTATGGCTCTGACTCCAGGGTCAGGTAGAACGTCATCCTTTCGGCTTCAGAGCAACCGGATTGTGGTGCGTACACGGTCAGTACTGTCCAGTACCCCTCCTTCGTGTCCATTCTCACTCCCATGATCCGGTCACTGATCCGGTTTCACAGTGGAGACACAGTCCTTGAGGGATTCTGCCACCGCTATGGCAACGCCATTCCGTTTGGTGTCTGCTCTAATTGCAGAAGAGTTTGACACCCTCTCCAATCTCGCGCCGCACTTTCGCCGTCCTTCATCGTCTGTTTCCATGCAGCATAGACTTGGATCATTCCTGGCGTCCACAGGAATTATCCAAGTCCTATGCCTGCAGGAACTCAACCTCGACGGTTCCCCGCGTAAGCGACCCACGTTCAGGGTCATAAATCAAACTAGCTTCCTTTGGCCGAGGTCGTTCACCCCTCGGTAGCCCTCGCATACTGACCACAGAACTCGGGCGAGGGTTCTGCGCGCCACTTCCGGGTGACGTCCTAGCTTTTACACTGATTCTATTGCGACTTGTCATGATTGTTGTGACGGGTTCCTCCATCAGCCGGCCTGTCAACCTGGGCCTGACGCTGGTATCGTCCCCATTTTTGCAATTTTTGCAAGGCAGGTTTGTGCCTCGGCAGGGATCGAACTCGTGGCTCAGAGTGAGATTATGAGTCTACACTCTTAACCACTCGGCTATCCCTGCTCACCACTCGGCTATCCCTGCCCAAACCCGGCGCGGCATTTGAACATGGTATAGAATTGTTTACTTGTGAGATATTTCACTTTGAGACAACTGTCACCTTGTTCGCTGTTGGACAGAGACATGAACGCAGTTGTGTCGAAATAAACATCTCACCAAAATCGCAGCCACCGCGACGTTTACTTGAAGTATGCAGCCACGCTTGTCATATCTCAGGGACTGCGAGTGTAGATTGTGCGATTTTTGCCGCCCCAAGGTGGCGCGATTCGTGCCATACAGATATACCGACTTCAAAAATACCAACCCATATTGAAGCTCAGCACTTTAATGCCATGCAAACATGGTATTTCTTTGGCCGTATTACGCAGAAGATGTTGTGCCGAAATGCGAATACTAAAGGAACACAGCTGGAATGGAAAAGTTTGATCTGCGTAACTTCTATACAAGATCAGCATATGAAAAGCGCACCACGTCTATAAGGACGTTCGAGTTCAAGAACGACTTCTTCAAGTCTGGAACATATCGGTATGTCATCGCTATAGAGGGAGCGTTGAAACAAGTCATTCTTTGCAACTCTTGCTTGGTGTCCAATACTGAAAACAAAAAAGCAATTTCAGTTAGCGATCTCAAGATTTTTGTTAGTGTCAGCTGTTAGTAAGGTGACGTTCAATGAAAGGTTTTCTCTTCATACGGAATAGAATAAAATCCACATTCATGCAATCCGTCTACAAATATTATTAGGTCATCCCACTCAAAGACGTGGAGATATTACAGAAGTGACAAAGGGGCTGCAGTTGGGGACTTCTGTATCGTTTGGGAGCGGGTACCTTTGGCTGCGTATTGAACTTTGGCTAACCCAGTCACCGAGTCACATATGTAGTGACATCTAGAGAAATTGAAAAGAAACCCGAATGGTCATAATCAGCGGAGGATTATGGAATGGAGCGTCACAGGAGGAAGTGCGTTCCTAGGAATTCATCCTAGATTGGATAAGTACTTGCACATACTAGTGTTTTTCCAATGGAGTGTGAAAGATTTGGTTCTGAAGTAAAAAAAAGGAGGAGCGAAAAAAGGTGTGGTCGAGAAGAGCTCCATAATGTTCATCCTTCACAAGAAAAGCGTGCGGATGAAGTTAAAATCAGTTGACGAGTTAATATCCAAGACATATAGGACTAATACGCTAGCAGGGCTGAAATTGACGCATCTGAGCAAGCAGTGCGTGGCTCCAAGGAAGGTACCCTTGTAGCGCCCTACCAAGCTATAACATATCGACCCGGACGCCCACCGCGGACAGATGTCTGACCGATCCTGATGCTCTATCGCTTCATTTGTGAAGTACAATATGAAGGCGAAGGGATTGATATGAAGCGGCTGCGCTGCTGCATGGATATATGA